CTTTACGGCTTTCTTTTGACTTGATCGGTCTTATTTGGCTTTTCATTATTATAAAAGAGTAAAATTAAAAAAATTATACTTTTTATTCTTCTTACACATGCGTTGTACTTGAACGACAGCACAATCTAGTGAACAAGGTCAAACTCTTTTTTGCTACATTTTCTTCACATAACAAATTATTAATCGGAGTATTTTACGTTGAATATGTCAAAAGGTTATACAAATATCTACGCTAAGGATAACATTTGTAGATTTTTTTTTCATAAAGCTACTGACAAATGGTAGTATTTGTTTATCTCTAGTAAAACAAAAACAAAGTGAAATAGAATGTTGGTAAATCCAATCCGAAACAAATTAATTTCATGTAAAGAAAAAACATGCTACCTAAATTGCATTATATATAATAAGTTGAAGATTTTAAATAAAAATGCATTAAAATATCCTAAATCATTAATCTATATGGTATAATTCAATTGCAAACCTAATCCACTTACAAGTCACAAATTTTGTTCGGATTTGTAAGATACATCATAATACATAAGTGTTTTTCTTTTACAAATTTTCAGTATTTTAAAACCCAATCCTATTCTGGGAACTGTGATTGGTTCCCACTAAAGGTCGTTATCTTTTCTTTTTTTTTTTGTTTGCTGGGAAAAACTTAAAAAGAGAAGAAGATAATGCTCATTTTTTCACGCGTTGCCTGGATTATCATTTTTAATATGTCAAAAATAAATCATGAAATAAAAATATAAGAATTTGAATTTTAGAAGGTAATTCTATGCAACCACAATATATTCGGTGAGTACGCTTTACCAGTTAAAGCAAACACAACAGATTCAGCTGGCTTAAAATATTTTTTTCTATCCAACTTATCATACTGGTGCGACCAAACAAAATTTAGCCGGTTTCAAATTTGATAACCTAGTTTACTAATATATGTAGAGTATTTTATAAAAAAACCATTCATTTCACATAGTAAAAAAATATGAAAGTTTTATATAGTCTCTTGCTTACATTATTTGAGCTCTAAAATACTTATTTATCTCATTTAAATTTATGCATCTTCTAAAACACACTTGTTCTCCTTTCTGAATCTATTCTCTTTTCACTTTTTCTTTGCTCACATATAACATGTTAAGAATATATATTGATTTTCCTATCTTTGTAGTGAAGTTGTTCATATCTTTCAGCAAACGTCAAATTTTCACTATCTAATCATATTTTCTACTTCACAATCCTCATTTTAATCATTTTATTACATCGCCTCAAACATTTATCATCATTTGATTTCTATTCGTTTAGAATTGTCTCATGTTATTTATCTAAAATTTTAATTATTTATTATTTTATGTGAATGTTTTACAAATTTTTCAAGTTTATCAAATATACATAATCTTTACCATATATTCATATTTTTTGTACTTAAAAAGATGTATGTCTTTTGTACTTAAAATGACGTATGATTTATTAATCAATTTTAACGTTGGGAATATTTATATTAATTTTTGTATCAATTTTTTATTTTAGTTCTTCTAATATCTATTTATTTTTATTGTATTGTACAATTTTTTAATTTTCTTTCTATGTTGTTTGGTAATTAATAGTAAACATTAATTAAAAGATAAAAAAAAATTAAATGAATCATTAAACTTTAGTTTTAATGTAATTATTTATTTTTGATGGAGTGAATGCTTTAAAGTGATGATGTGGACACTTTAAGAAGAGAGAAAATTCTCCTATTATAGAATAGACTAGATTTATACTTCGCGCGATGCGCGAATACTCAAATTATTGAATTATTGAATATCGATATAATCATTTAATTTTTTTTTATAAATACTTATAAAAATATATTATCAAAAAATAGACAATATATATATATTGTCAATGAATTGCTAAGTGTTATGTGGTAACCAACGTAAATTAGAAACATCGTGAGAAGAGGAGACGACTTTGGTGATAATCCCATGATTCTTTATCTGGGGAAAATTATTTTTATATTAAAGTATTATAAAGACATCTCTAGGAAGTTTTAATGTATTAAGGTATTAATGTTGANCATTGANTTAATAGTATCNCAACCCCACACTAAATGTGAATGTGTCAAATATAAACAATTATTTCTTTCAAAAGTATGAACGAAATACTCATGATGTTACAATGAGTTTGNAAATNNTTTATNCCTCAAATCCAGTGAATATTCCGATAAGATAATGTTTACATGGTGAAACGAATGCGCTCGACTTTATCGGTCCAATAATACATGTCATGTATTTTATGAAAACTTATTTATTTTAAATAGTGAATACGATATAAAAGATTTTATGTTAGTCTTATGCATATATCTTTCTGAAATATAATCAAATTTTTTTCGAATACATTTTCACGAAACATTTCTTTCATCATCTTCCGATACACAGTTGCGTCTTTTTACATCTACTTTTATTTCTTCTCTCTATATTATTATTACCGAAAAATATTTCATAATCTTGTATTTACTTTTATTTACTTACTTATTTTCGTAATTTAAACATGCATTAAAATGAACATTTACTTTAAATTTTAATGTAACAATTTTTGTTNTGATGACGTGGACACCCTAGATGGAGAGAAAACTCCCTAATTATATAATAGATTTGTTTCATTATTTCATCGACATTAATTTTCTTTTATAAACCATAGTTGTAAAGGCCATCAAATGTGGATTTTATTTATGACAGATAAATGGAAGCTACAACTTCAAATGTAGTCATATATAGAACGCCGGTACAATCAGACCTGGGTACAAACCCAACTAATCTTACACTTAATAATTTCTGATTTAGAGAGTTTACAACAAATAGAAAAACTAAAAATGCACAACATCTACTATAACATGACATTGATTGTCTTTATATGGGACCATAATCTTCAGTGTGTTA